ATATGTAGATTGGCCCTGGCCATTGATGGGTTATGTAAGGGCCTGTTGTGCGGCCAACTTCCATTCGATATACTCATATATGTATATGGGATGTAAAATGAAGAGAACTCTCTAAAAGTTGTTAAACAAAAATGATTCACTTCATTCGTTTTATGGATTCCTGCTCAGTGCGGTAACAAGCTGCAGATTTAAATTATAGATTTAACTATTTTATTGATATGCTAAAAGGTAAATCAGTTAAGTATTATATTTTGTGTTATATTTATAAAAAGAAAGTTTAATCCTTTAGTAAACAACTCCTTTAGCTTGTAAAGTAAAAACCATTTCAGGTTTCCTTTAAGGCGACAGCCATTTCCGTAATCTCATTGCTTTCCACTCTTGCTAATAGGATAAAAATTAAATTTAATATAAAATTCATTTGGCGAAATCAAGGAGAGCGAAACAAAACGATTGCTTGTTACATTTTCGGACTGGCCGAGCACTTTCAATAATTGCCACTTTGGCGCACATTAAAGTCAACTTATGCCGAGAATTGACTGCTGCAACAGCCGAGGCCTATCCACCCCTCTCTCACTCTCGCTCTCTGATGGCCTTCTCGAGTCATCTCTTTCGCTCATCTGGCCCCACCTAGAACGCATAATCATTATCGTTACAGTTTATTGCACATTAAAACTGCGCCGCTGCCCCTGTCGCCCTTTGTGCCGCCCTTATGCCACTTTCTCTGGGCCAAACACTTGGCATTACATAAAGCAAATGGCCATAAAACGGAACTGGGAACAGGGAACATGGCCGAAAAGGAACAAGAAGTAACAAGAAGGAATACAGACTTGACCGACTCGTAATTGTCACCCTCAGCGCCTTTTGTTGAAATTTACACATGAATAGTTGCCGGACCTCCTGCCAGTTGGGAATTTAATTTAATTGTGACTGAAGTTTGCCTCCATTTTGATCACTCTCTCGGACTCTCGATTCGCTTCAATGGTATTTGAAATTTTTATTTGATTTTTATTTAATTTTTAAGTACTCTGCCCTAAACGATGCAATTAACATGCTTCAAAATAATTTGCAGTTAGCTAAGTTTACGAGTAATCGAAAACCCTTTCTTTGGGTGCAGAATGAACCTCTTACCGAAACCCCAAATCTAATAAAAACGGGGTTAAAGCTGTCACGCTTATTTTATTTGATAGCCCCATGATTTTAGCAAATTATGCAAATGTTTGCACTTATTTGAAACAACATTTTTGTTACTCATATTGAGTCGCACTCGTTCGCCGTTTCCTTGGTCTCTTGCAAATATTGACAAGAGTTTTATTTAAATTTGGCTGCCAATTTCTTGGCAGGAGTTTCCGGCAATGTCACTGCGCCCTGTTCGGCCCCTTGATTTCGCCTTCAACTCCCCCTCTCTCTCCACAGCTGCCACGTTCTGCGCATATTTTTGCCAAATCAGCAAATGTTGCCGTTGTCAACTGAGTTGGCCCCTGCCATGTCTCGATTCGCAGATTCCATTCCATTTTTTTCTTTCAACCCACAGCCAAGCCATCTTCTTCTCTTCCGTCGCCAGTGGAGCCGAGCGGAGCAAATGCCACTAATATGAAAGCAAATTTGCATAATAATTTTTGCCAGATTCTTTTGCTAGCTGGCTGCCGTCATATTTAAGTTTGAATTCCTTTAGTTTGCCGTTTGAATATTCCGACTTCTGCTCTTTAATGCTGGAACACGCTTGTTTCTGCTGCGGTCAAACTACTTTGCCACTGCTTATTAAATTAATTGAATTTAATGGTATTTAATAGGAAAATTAATTAAACTGCTTTATTTATTATGGCACATTAAATGGTTTTTTTTTTGTCTTCATTTTCATCCACAAAGTGGTGAGTTTTTCTGTGTGAAATTTGGCCTGCAGCTGGGGCTTTAAATGTCAACTGTCGGGGGAAAAAAACATTTTCTTCTATTCACTCGGCTTTTGTAATATGAGAGTTTGGAAATTACAAAAAAAAGCTGCCTTTATAATTCAATACACAAATATGGTTTCCATAAAAAACATTTTCGTTTAAATCATTCAATAATTGGTTTAAAATTAAAGCCCCTCTGGTGAATTATGGTCAACGTGATTATTGCCAACTACAAACAGGCAGAAAGAGTTGGCTTTAACATAAAGTATTTAAGTGCAAGTCACACCCATGTTGAAGTTCATTTATTTGCACACCTTCCGCCTGCTTGCTTGGGGGCCATAAAAATAATTGGCAATAAATGCGCTAAGAGTCAAAACAAAATGCCAATTGTCGGGGACCAAGAAGCCAACAAGTTCCGCAAAAACGGAAACCGGCAAGGAATAAGAAATCAACACATTGCTTTTAATTAATGGAAGTTGCAGATGGAACCCACACACGCAGGCAGGCGGGCAGGCCGTTACCGCTGGCATTTTACGACTTTCCGCCGCCCAGCATCTTGAAAAGCCATCAAAAGGGGCGGCGAATGTGATAGGGGATGGAGGAGGGAAAAGTCACCGTGTCGCTTGTCAGTTTCAAGTGCGTTGAGTTATAATTTTATGTGCGATTAATTTGCCACAGCATACACACACATTTTTAATGCGTTTCCTCGTGCGTGTGTGTGTGTGTACGTGGACCAGCTAATGAGCCAGGTTTTTTCTTTTCTCTGCTAACTGCTTACTCCTGAATATTGGTGGGCCACTAAAAATTGTTTAGCCAAAACCATTTTAATGGCCACCGTGTTGTGGCAATAAATGTTGATGGCCTTTTTATAGTTTTAGGGAAGGCAAAAAAAAAGCGTTTCGTTCAGCGCAATCAAAGTGGAGCAACTTTTCTGCAACTACGTTGCAATTCATTTGAACACTTTGCATTATTCAAGCCCGTGGCCCGAAAACAAATCGAAAACAAGTGGACAAACGTGGCCAAAATGGCAAATATCGACGCCGAGCCACGCACATAGCATTTTGGCCAATTTTACGATTGATTTTTGTTGCGGTGGATGGGGCAGAGAGAGGGGAAACTGCGTTCCGTTCCAGCGAAAATCTCTAATTAGCTAATTGCTATAATTAAATGTTTTGCCAATGTTGGCATTTCGTTTAACTCGGCACAAGGATAATGTAAATTCTGAGAGCTGCCCTCGCTGGGCGGGCGAGCTGGCGCGCGGGCGACGTCATCATCGTTACCATCATTGGCATTGTTATTATTGCGGTTGCCCTGGTTCTTCGACAGCGCTCTCCCTCCGTAATGGCAAATCGAACATATTTGCATATGAAATGAGCGAAAAATCGAAACATGGCGGCAGCCTGGCCCGGGCCATGTCGATTCCAGGCGAAAAGAACTGGGGAGCCCGGCGATTTCCGGCTTAGACAACATCACATTTTAAACGACTCTGTGGGGGTGACTTCATACCGTCGACTTTGTTATGCAGAATCGAAACTCAGGCGGCAAAAACCATTTATAATCATTATAAATTATGCATTGCATTATCGCTGTCGACCCGCAATGACTCGCCTGGCCTGGCTTTTTACCCCAGCTGATTAGCAACTAATTCCACAGGGGCCACGCTGCGTATGAGCAATGTGCACAGCCTGCAGTTGACTGAACTGTGAGTTGGGTCCACAATTTAAAACATCTCTTGCAGGCCGCAAGACCAGTAAGCCCTGGTGGCTGGTGGAGGGAATATTTTTGGACAAAACTGTAATAACTTTGTTTGGGCCACGCGAAAATGCCGAGCCTACGAAATGCAAATGAGTTAACAAGTGAATTTAAATGAGATACAAACAACAGCGGAATTCCGTGACGAGGGACCAACCAAAATAGAGCTTTTGGACAGACGAAAAAGGGCTAAAAAAAACTTTTCGGCAAGAAAATTCTCTGGGAATTTTGAACGGAGAGAAATTAGACAGGCTCTGGCCCAATCTTATAAAATTTAAATTAAAATCAGACCAAAATACGTAAAGAGAACGGAATCCGGTTGTTTCCGGGACCGGATCTGAAATAAGCTCGAGCTGGCGAAGAGTCCCGAAATTAATGTCAACTTCAAACAGTAATCTCTCTCTTTCTCTGTTTCTCCGTTTTGGCCTTTAAACAAAGGCGGCGAAATATGAGCGAACAAAGCAACTGCGAATAATGAAAAGGCAAACGAATCTTAAGTGCAGGCCAAAAATAACACAAATAAATGCCGAGCTAAAGGGAAATTGTTAAGAGCAAGGACTCGGAAAATAAGCCAAGCCAAAGGACATAACTCAAAAAATGGCTGCAAAAGTAACATACAAAAAGCAAAGTGAAAAACGAAAAAAAGAAAAGCCAGCAAAATAAAGGAAGGCGGCGAAATGAGGAAGAACAGTCCCGTCTTGAAAGCCGGGCGAAATTAGCATAAAAAAAGGATTTGCTCGCTAATTTCACTTTAATGTGAGAGGACGAAGGACGAAAAGGCGCAGGACAGCTATGAAGACGTCGCGCCCATTACGTCACTTTTATCTTGTCACCCACTCCCTCTCCACCTCTCCACCTCACCATTCTCCATTCTCCACTGCCTTTGAACTCCAAGTCTTTTCGCTTTTATTTATAGCATTATTAGTTGGGCCAAGCGAGAGATCGCAGCATGCTCCCCGCAACTTGGCTTTTCGGGGGGTCCCCGGCCCAATAACAAAGTGCTAATGCCCTCGGCTAATTATACATCATTTGTTAGCCATTTTTTTCTTGCAGCCACTTCCCTGCAGCTCCGGCTGATTCTTTCCTGTTCCGGCTTGGGTACACAAAAAAATCTTTCACTAAATTACATTTTTTATTCCTTCTGAGGAAAACTTTCTTTGAGAATATATTTATTATTATTTCAAGTATTAAAGAATATGAAACTATGTTAGGATATATTTTTAATCCAATTCTTTTAATTCCTTTCAAACCAGGAAGATAGATCAAAGTGTAATAATATTTAAAGCCCAAAATATCCTTAATTTTTTCCTGTACATGTGCCTGTGACACCATCTAATCATTCACTTTTTGTTTTTACAGGACCCCCTGTCCTATCCGAGTCCATAATGGGAACGGTTGGCCGCCTGCCCTGCAACGTCACACCGCCCATATACGAGGATCGAGTGGCGCTGGTCATCTGGTACAAAGTTGGCCTGAAGACGCCCATTTACAGGTGAGTGGCGAATGCTTTTCAATCAAGTGAATGCAGAAATTCAAAAGAGGCCGAGGCTGAAGTTTGAGTGACACGTATTTCTTTTTTTTTTCGGAGGTGCTTTTAAATCTTTAAGCCCCCGTGTCAAATGCAGAACCACAGGCCGCAGCCCCACCTGACCGCAAACATTTCAACCACACACACTCAGACAGACACGTTGGCACGCACGGGTCCATAAATAAACAAAATTGATTACCGCAGACAACTTTTGACGCACTCAACCCGCTCGCCACTCAGCCAACAACACAAACAAACACGCTCGACAGATGAGGCGGCGGGAAATTGGATCGGAAAACGGGGCGAGAAGGTGCGGCATGGCGGAAAAGTGGAAAACGGAGACCTGCACATGTCAGTTGCCGTATTTGCGGGAGAATTTTCATTCTGATTTAATGGCGGCTAATTAGGCTTTTTTTTTGTTGCTGTTGTTGTTGCTGTTTGGGAGTTCGTCCATCGGCCTGCAGACTTGAAATTAGCATAACTAGAAAATTATACACAGTTGAAGCTCTGAGGGAATATCACCCGAAAATCTAGCTAACTTTCCCGACAATCCCAGCTCGCTGCAAGGTTACATTGGGTAGGGAAAACTTTTTCAATTATTCAAGTCTAACATAATGTCGCAGTGGTTGCTCGGCAGCTTCTATTTAGTATCTTGTATCTAGCAGATATACACGACTACATCAAAGGCGTGAAACTTTAATTGGATTTATCCGACTTGGCCGCATGTGAGTCAGCCAGGGTGTGCCGGTTTGCTCTGGTGATTAGCTGATTGCCAGGGAGCAAGGCAGCCAGTCAGCCATCCAGCCATCCAGCCATCCAGCTAGCTGGCCATTGACATGCGGCCAAAACTAATTGAACTTCGGGCACTTCAAGGACTTGCAAATGACTCGAGCGAAAGTAGTAATTAGCGTTGCATAACGACCGGTGAAAAAGAAAGGAAAGGGCACCACCAACGAGCTGAGCTCAACTCTTGTTTGTAATTAAAAACCACTCAGCAAGTAAATTAATCATAAAAAGAAACCTCTGGACCAGCTCGGACTGGCCAGTGCAAAAAGCCACGCCCAGAATGGTGAAAATTTAATTTTCACCCGCCCACCGACCGACAGCTCAATTCCGAAATCCATTGAGTTTTTATTGCCCGGCTGACATGTGATGCTTCAGAGTCAGGTTTTCCAGCAGCAACCTCATTATCCGGACTTTTCCGTTCGAGTGTGCCATGTGTTGCGAGCAAATCAAAATTGAAATGCAATAAAACACAGGCTAGCAATTCGAGGAGCTGTCGAAGGATGACGGGCAACGTAAGACATATGGAGATGCAGTTAAGATCGACTCATGCGCAAAGCGAATTTATGGCGACTTTGTCAAGGAGAAAAATATCTACTTTTCAGCCCAAACAAACGATGCTTGTCGATCTAATTTAAATGCCAATTGAGTTCGTAACTCGAAAGCCTTTGGGCCGAGCTATACATTCGAAACTCATAAGTTCTAGCCTATCAATGGGAAAAAGCACTCAAATCCTGGTTACAAAGTTCTCCCCCTCGGGCAAGGATTACTTAGGATCTCAATTAAAAACGCCTTCGTCCCACTTAAAGGCACGCTAAAATAGAATATTACCCCGAAACGTGCATAATTAACTATGTGTTTTTCCAGAACTCGGACTAAAAATGCCGAGAGGGAGAGCTGCTTTAAACCCAATTAACTTCGCCACTCGGCTAAATGTTGACCTAAATCAGGACGCGCCACCCCCTTTTTGGCTCAAAACTTTTTAAACCCAACTCTGCCAGAATGCTAGCTGTTGGAGAGGCAGAACAGACACTTTAAGACCATTGATTGACCACCAAAATGAGCTCGTTACGCCGAGTATCGCCGGAATGGAATAATCAATAATCGAGAATTTCAAGCGAAAACAATAAATTACAGAGCAGTGGGCGGGTGTGTATTATTAATTCATTGCAGAACCCAATTACGCTGTTGGCGATAATAAAAAACTTTCAACATGGCGTGAGAAAGTAATGGGAGAACGGCAGCGACTTTTGTTTTCCTTTGGCCCGGGTTGATACACAGAAATTCTTTTAATTTTTTCCATTCCAGCACTGAGAGAAAGGGAAAGTGACTTAAGATATTGGTTTTTGTTTTAAAATAATTATAAAAAGTATCAAAAATAATCAGGAATATACTCAAAAGGACACCTCTATCTTAAAGCCATTTTTCTGGCCATATTCATAGGAATTTCCCCCCAGTGCACGTCTTGATTTTCGCTTGTTTTTCCCATTCCAGTGTGGACACACGCGACTCAAACTTTGCCCAGGGAACGCACTGGTCGGACGAGACTTATCGGGAGCGACTCTCGTTCCACGTGGAAGGACGTGCTGGCACGCTGACCATCAAGTCAACCACGGAGGACGACACGGGCGAGTATCGCTGTCGCGTCGACTTCCAGAAGAGTCCGACTCGCAACTCCAAAGTGAATTTAACTGTCATAAGTAAGTATTGAGCCACTCTCCTTTCTCTTTTCACTTTTCTCCATGCTCCTTTCTCCTTTTGTCTGTTTGCCCACGCTGTGCGGGGCAGCATAATTGAGCAGCTAATTTGTGCAGCGACATATCCTGGCCGGGTCTTGGTCCTGATACTATCCTGGCCTGGCCCAACCACGGCACTCAGCTCTTGGACAAACACATTAGTTACAGAATAAGACGCCAACTATATGTTCGGGTTGCCAACTTTTCCCTTATTTTTAGCCACTGCCTTCCCATCTGCAGCTTTGTACTTGGCAAACAGATTTTAAAGTGCCAACTTGGCTAGAAGTTTAAACGTGGCTGGTTAAAGCTGCTCGAGGAGCAAATGGCAAAGTGGAAAAGCGGGTGGCGAGTGCAGGATGCAAGTTCTGAATTGAATTCCTTGCCTTTTAAATGGTTTTCAGATTGGTATTCGGCAAGGGTATGCAATGGATGTGTTAGCATTTTTATCAGGATTTTGTTAAATGGGGATAACTTTTGGGATAAATATTTAATGCATAAAATCACTTAATAAATGTATTGTTTTTTAAAAAGATTAAAAGACTAGTTACTTTTTAAGATGTTAGAAAATATTTCATATTTTTACCTGTCTCCTTTAGCATCCTAGATCCTAGATCCTAGTTGTTATTGAAAATATTGCAGCTCCAGACCCCAACTGGATTATCCCGAACCAGAAGCGTATTGCATTTTCCGCTTTTCCCCATTTCCAGTTGCAATTTCGGGCTTGTATTTTTTTTGCTGCTCCCAAGGGATCCAAGGGGAGGGGATACCTGTGCATTGAGGCGGCCACAGCTTGCAATTTACCATTAAAATTTATATGCGTTTCCAAAGGCGTTTAGCTGAAATATATGGCCGGCAGAGTTGGCCTGGCCGAATATTGTTGGTAAATAGTTGCTGCCGACGTCGCTGCTGCTAGATGAAGCGCAAAGGGCTGCAAGGGCTGTAAGGGGCGTGGCCGTGTTTTACAAACTTCTTGAGCATGTTCAACATGCTTCTGTGTATGCGTGTTGGTGTGCGTGTGTTTGTCTGTGACATGTGAAGCGTAAAACCAAGGCAGAATTTAGAACTTTGTACGTTGGTTTTGGGATGAAAATGGAAAAAGGGAAAAGAACAGAGGGTAAAACTTTAAAGAAGATATTAGATTAAAAGTTGCCCCAGTCCGGGGTGGACAGTTTGGACAACTTGCCGCTGCTGCTAATGCGCAGAAGGGGCAGGAAATTCCCAGGACTTGATCAGGCCAAGCAAATTTGCTAGCAAAGCGATGATAATGGGGTTTGGGTTTTGGCTCAAAATAGTTGGCCAAGTTTGCTGCTGCCCACCCCAAATACCCAAAAATAATCATAAGAAAGCTGTTCGTAAAAAAGAACAGCGTAGAGCAGTCAAAACAATGAAAAACCAGGACAAAAATAGAAGTAGTTGGTAGGTAAAAAATCTAAGAAAATAGGAAGCAAAAAAAATTAAGACTCCCGAGAGGGAAAAAAGAAACTCTGGAACTGAACTTTGAGTGCACCTGTTCGAGCGTTTCCTTTCATTTTTTTTTCCACACTTCCAAGTGGCAACAGCATAAGCAGCTCTTTAAAGCCATGACAGTCAAGCTTTTAAGGAGCTTGGCTTGGCCAAGTAGTTTGGTGACAGTTCGAAGAGGCTTTCACTACCAAAATGCATACCGAAAGGTGATTATGCCTCAGGCATTTGACAGAGCGGAAACTCCAATTTAACAAGCTTCTATGATTTCCATTATCGAACTGCAATATTTAAGAGTCCGCTTTCCCGTTTTCAGTTCCGCCCGAAACAGTGATTATATTGGACAGCAAGGGGGCAGCTATCAAGGATCACACGCTGGGCCCCTACAACGAAGGTTCCGGCATCAACATCACGTGCGTGGCCGTCGGCGGTAAGTTCCCCCTGCCCCATTCAGCCGCATTTCTTGTTTTTTGTTATTTTTCATATGGGTGGGTGTGTGGGCAAAAGTGTTGACGCTGCTGCTTGTGTCTGACAATTAAAAGTGATGAGCGTGAAAATGCAGGCGAAAGATTTTCACATTTTATTTAATTTCCACCCGGCTGTCGACTGCACGAACACCAACTCGAACTGGAACTGAAGCCGGAGAAGGAGCTGGCGCTGATGGTGATGCTGGGGCTGCAAAACCAACGTGCAGACAATCGAGCAGCTCGGGCACACACAATGCCCACACAAATTGCATTGAGAGCACTTGAAAATTGCTAAAAGCCAAACAAGACAACAAATGAAACAGCGAAAGGCACTTGTACACACACGCAGTGCCCACAGCCTCATCCTCATCCTCATCCACCAACCACATACATATATAGAATATATCTAGAGAAAGACACTCATCCACTCCTTGCACTTGTGAGCACATAAACAAACAGAAGACCAGGCTAAAACGCTGCCAGCTAAACGCAGAGACAACTCCAAGTCTAAGCCGAACGGCAAACATATCAGTTGCACACACACGTACCCAACATCTGGCCGCAATCCCGATAATTCTTTTTCTTACCACCGGGTATTTTCCAGGTCGCCCCCAACCGAGAGTCACCTGGCTGCACGGCAACACCGTCTACAAGGACGCCAGTGTCGGCCAGGCCTTGTCCGAGCGGCGGGTGGGTAATGTTCTATCCCTGCAGCGACTGGAGCGACGGAATCTTCACATGCAGCTAACGTGCCGGGCGGAGAACAATAATTTGACAACGCCAATTATCAGCAGCGTCGTTCTCGACATGAACCGTGAGTTGCAACCCCTCTGAATTCCGGGAGTCTGGGACTCCCCTCCCATCGATCTCTGCCCATGGCCTAACTAATTAAATTCTATCGCTAACCAACAGTCCGCCCTTTGATTGTGAAGCTGCAGGGAGAGAATCGACCATTGTCGGCAGGGAATTCTTATCAGCTCAGCTGCGTTGTCATCGGAGCACGTCCAGCGCCGACGATTACCTGGTGGAAGGGCAGTACCCCCATGAAGAATACTCATGAGATTGTAAGTGGAAACGAAAGACAAAGGACTAAAAGGAAGTACCTCGACTAGCGGGGGTCCTGGAAATGTTTGTTCGGAAATAGCAAGGTTGAAATTAAGTTGGAAGTTTTCTTTTTCAAACTTTTGTGATTGGTTTCCTTCAACCTCATCAGTTACTACAAGTTTATGAGTGTGTGGATTAATCCCTTAAAAATTATCAAACTAATTCCGAAACATTAATTTACAAACTTCTTGTATATCTACACTCACTACCAAAATATTCCAAAAGGTATTTGTTTTTACAATTTAAATGAGACTTGTATATCCTGTTGCCGGAAACACCCGACAGCTACCCTGTGCAAATGTTTATAAACATGCAAATTTCAAATGCCTGTCATCCTTGTTAATGGCTACCCCAGAGTACAATTTCCACTCCCCGCCGAGAGAGTCGTACACATGCTTTGTGGTAATTGAAGTTCCTCGAACGGCAGTCACGTAGCGTCGGGCCTCAATTAAAAGCCACCCCCTATCTACGTCGAAGGACGTGCCAACCCTTTTCCGTTTCCTTTGTCCTGGCCCAACTGCTCAGTCGTTAAGCAATCTACTCTTCTCTTCTCTTATTTAGGCGAATCCGGATGGAAATATGACCACCTCGGTGCTGACATTCACGCCCACCATCGATGACCGCGGCAAGTTCCTGTCGTGCCGGGCCGAGCAGAGCATGATACCCGAGTCCGGAATGGAGGATGGCTGGAAATTGGACATCTATCGTGAGTTCTGTTTGCCATAAAAGGCCCTGCTTAATATTTAATTCGACTGGGCAAAGTTTTTAATGAAACCGAAAGCACAAAGTCGGCGAGCGGCTTTAAAAACTGTGTGTAAGAAATCGCTGCACTGGGCCACCCATCCAAACCCAATCCTCCTCCTTTTATCCTTCGACTGGTCCATATTTTTCTTCGATTCTCCTCAGCTGCGCAAGTTTTGGCAAATTAATTTCCAGCGGCCGCCGGTGAAACTTTTGCACAAAACTTGCGAAACTTTTTAACCCGCCACAAGCACCGCAACGCCGCCTGCAAAGTCATCTTTACGCTTTTACAGTTTTCGACCTGTTTGCACAAAATTTAAATGGCAAAACCACCGCCCTCCTTCCTGTGGAAAAAAGGAGGAGAACCGCTTCTTGTTTGCCTTGGGAGTGCGGTTTTGTTGCTTACCTTTTAACTTTTCCTCTTTTTTGTTCCACAACTCAACTCCCCCGCCCCAATGCCCAAAACTCGATTCGATTGAAATATCTGGTTCATTCGGTGGCGGGGGCAACTGTTTGCCCAATTTGATAGATTGCTTAATAAGCTTAATTGATTCGCATTCGCGGACCAATTTTGAATTAATCAAGTTAAAATGTTGCTCAGTTACCCACCCAATGGGTTCCCCCCTTCTTCTTCGCCGGCAAAACAGCATTTTAAAGGCCTAATTGCCAGGATGGCCAACACGAAAGAAAAAAGTATAATAATAAACAAACAAGCTACAGAGAAGGAGTGAGCCGAGTGGAAGTGGAAGTGGAACTGGGCCAGCTGAACATTTCAACAACTTAAATTGGCTAATTTGTGCGGCTTACACCAGTAATTACACCTTTGGCCTGTGCTTTCGGCATTTTATTTGCTTGCCAGCTTTATTATTTGTCTGGGCTGGCGATTTAAAGTAATTAGCAGCCACGATGCCATGGCAGCAAAGTCTGTTTGTTTGCCCATTTCCCTGATAACCCAACACATAATGACTTCTATCCAATTTCGACGGTCTTTTCATTCGCAGACATACCCGTTGTGAGTCTGGAGCTGGGAACCAATTCGCTTAACTCCACGCTACGCGAGGGCATCGATGTGTTCTTCGAGTGCAACATCAAATCGAATCCCTGGATATACAAAGTTAGCTGGCGGCACAATGTAAGTGACAGACAGATGCCGTTTTACACGCATTTTACCATCTCCTCCTGCTCCTCCTGCTCGTGCTTTGAGAATTTCATGAGGAAATTTAACAGCCCACTGCCTTTGCAAAACTCGCGGCTAATTTATTATTACTCGGGGCGCTTTCTTGAGCACAAACCGCTTAAGAGGAACATGCATATATAGCAGAAGAAGCAGCGGCAGTATGATTATTATTATTATTTTCATTATATGCCATACATACATTAGCCCCGGGCAGCGGTTCGAAAGCCCAAAACTCCGGAGCGCATAATTGTTGCATATTTTAGGGCTGCCAAAGGGCGAAAAATGGAATTCCGCTCTACGCACACATAGAGGCGAACGAGAGCGCGCACACAATTTATTATTGAATTACCGGGCTGTGAGAGCACTTAACAATTTATGCAGCCCGGGCCTAATTTATGCATCAGCCACCGGGTCTTCAATCAGCAGTCCCGCCTTCCGGCCTGCGGGGCGTATGCGCAATGTAACGCAACATAAAAGTGTTATTAGCTTTGAGAAATTAAATTTATTTCAATTTAGCAGTTATCGGTAAATTGAATTCGATTCAATAAATTATTACGCCACCACCACACACGGCAAAGGGGGCGGAATTTAGAATTTTCCATTTTCCATTTACCATTTTCAATTTGCTTTTCACTTTTCACTTTCTGCTTTCGATTTCAGGGTGAGATTCTGTCCAACAATCCCGCCGAAGGCATCGCCGTCTCCAACCAGAGCCTGGTGCTCCAAAATGCCAGCCGGGCGAGAAGTGGCATCTACACCTGTGTGGGCAGCAATCGAGAGGGCGACGGCGAGAGCAATCCCGTTCAGCTGGACATACGATGTGAGTAGTGGGGGATATTCCAAGTCGGTCCTTGGCCTTAGCTTCAGTGTGTTAATTTACATAACAGCTTAATTAAAACGAATTGGATCTTTCGATTGCAATTTGTAACTAACACGTTACACAATGCAATTACAGCAGGACTCAGCAGGACGAGTGTCCATCCGTCCGTCTGTCTGTCTGTCCTTCTGTCTCTGTGTGCGACTTATCCTGCCCGAGAGACAAATTGAATTTTTCCCGTAAATCAGACAAATAAATCAATTAAGCAGCAACAATGCAACCACAAACGAGGCAACAATGCCGACATTTTCTTTAAATATTTAATGGGGGAAAATTCAAGAGTTTCCCTTCACTGAGCAAAGAGTACCCAGTCAACGGGAATCAAGCTCAAGTTGGGCCAATGTTTTTCTTTAATTATGCAGATGTCTTGGCCACTCGATTGAATGGAACTGAAACCCATATTCCCCCCCATCACTTTGACTCTTTGCAGTTGCACCTGTTTGCCGACCTCGCCAAAGGGTCTCGTACAGCTCGGGCAGGCATGAAACCGTCAAGGTGGCCTGTGAAATTGATGCCAATCCCGCTGAGGCCACCTACGTTTGGAAATTCAATGCAACCCAGGGCGAAACGGTTGACATACCAGCTTCACAAGTGGCCGTGGATCGGGGCCGCAGTATTGCCCATTACACGCCCATGACGGAGAATGTAAGTACTCTCATTCCCATTACTATAGACCAGACCCGATTTCGATTCTGTTACCCCATGGACCTCCTGGAGGTCATATAAATCAGTACGTGGCACGCCCTTGAGGGCCAGCACATAATTTTCCAAACGAGTTGCGGTTTTGAATTTTCAATTAAGGTTGAAAAGGTGTGTCGCCAACGGCGTCGCCATCGCCGCAGTGCATGCATAAATTAAGCCAACGAAATGCATTGTCACTCAACCCTACCCCTTGTTCCTGCAATCCTCCGCCATGCCGCAACCACATCCCACTACCTTTTACCCTTTACCAATTCACCACCCACATCCACACTCAATCTGATGTTTGCCATTTCTTCTTTGCATTGCCAGGACTACGGAACGCTGCTCTGTTGGGCCACCAACGAAATTGGCGATCAAAGTGAACCCTGCGTATACACAATAGTCCCAGCAGGTGAGTAGCCAGGAGGAGTGGGGCGACAGTGGGCGATTCACCTGTCAGTGGGGCTATGGGGCTCCATTGCCTGGGTGGTTCGCGTGCCGGCAGCTTTGGCTTCACTTTAGGGCTTTTAGGGGATGCTGGGTTTATACGGTTTCGAGTGGTTTTGATAAATATTTATAATTGATCAGGGAAATAGGATAAATATGATTAGAAATTATTATAACTTTTAAGCTTTTAGAAGCAGTATTATCATCTTATCTTATCTTATTCATTATTAGTTTATATTTACACGGTATCTCTTGCTCTATCAACAGTACTCCCCACCATTGAAAAGACATTGGCTTTCAGCGGTTTTTGTTTATGTTTTGTTTGGGGTTTGGCAAAGTCCCGCTGTGCAGATTCGTCGATGACTTTGGCACTTTGCCGCTTGGCTTTTCTGGCTGCTGGATTAGGCAAACTTGTGCTGCAAGTTGGCTTATTGATTTTGAAGCTATCGGGGGGGGAAAAGGCGCATGGAAAAGCCGTAGACAAATGCCTGGGCTCCATGCAATTTGTTGCTTGATCTGCCTTTTGAGCCGGAATAATAAATATTCCACTGTCTCGTTCGTTCTTCACTTTCGCAGGCGAACCGGATCCGTTGCTAAACTGCACGGTGCTCAACCAGACATCGACGGGATTCCAAATCGAATGCATCGAAGGATTCGATGGAGGGCTGCAGCAGGACTTTATAATGGAGGTCTACATGAATGGAACGACACGACATCCCAAAATTTCCAAATCAAAGTGAGTACACGGACCCGAATGCCGGCGTAGGAAAAAGTGGAATGGACATGGAGCAATCAGAATCACACGCCGTGTGACTTCTGCATTACAACAAGCCCAACGAGCCGTGGCATCGAACAGGAACGCATGGCCATGGTTACGTTTTACGTCCGTGTCCATGTCCATGTGAACAGCATGGCTAGCTTGCAGCTGCTGCTGCTGCTGCTACTGCTGCTGCTCCTTCGGCGAAACCCATTTGTCCTGCTCTTTGCTCTGGCCTTTTTTGCGGTTTTTCCGTTCTTGATTTGGACATTCAAATATCGATTCAACTTCGTTACAGGCGACCGTACTTTGAGGTGAGCGGTCTGGTGCCGGGCATGGGCTACAATGTCTTCCTCATCGCCCATAACAGCAAAGGCCGTAGCAACGCCACCATTTTGCAGGTCTACACGCTGAAGGATCCGGAGAAGCAGACGGGTGAGTTTAATCACAGGGGAGTCATCGGGTCTCTGGGTCTCCGAATCACCCAGTCTCCGTCTCCAGAAATGAATCCCATATACAGCTCCAGTGATGCGGGCTGTCCTGTCTTTCTTCCTCTCTCTCTCTCTCTCTCTCTGTGCGTTTGCAATTTCATGCATGTCCTGGCCCGAATCCTTGCTCTCTGCCTATAAATTAATGGGCGAGGGCTTGCATTTACAGCTGCTCCATTTGTCTTTTAATTTGCTTTAAGTTCTGCTAACATGGTTTGTTTCTTTCCCTTTTTTGTCGCCTTATTTTAACTGCATGGTCTCTTTTAGTTAAAATAACACTCACTAAGTCCTTTCAAGGACTTAGGCCTGCCTATCCTAAATCAAAAGCGACAGCGACCACGACCAGCGACTGCGTTTGCGATGAGGACGAGTTCCTTAATCTGGGCAAGGGATTGGGCCACGACGAGGGCATAGACGTTGACCAGCAAGAAGGTAGCGGTGGACTATCCTTTTCTATAATTTTCTATTGATTTGCCTTTGGTTTGTCTAACTAGCAACACTGCTCTAATCCTTTGTTATGTAACACACATTTCTTGGATTTGTTATTAATTTACATTTTTGATTTCAGTTAGTTTCCGTTTATTTACACTTTACGTAGCTTTAGTTCTTATTTATGTGTTTACTTTTAAATATTTATTTTACCTTTTGTTTTATTTCTAATACCTTGTTGTAACAATACCAATAGTTTAGCTGTAAACCTTTTGTGACTAAAATTCATTTGGAAATGTTTGAGTTTATAGCACCATTAATCCACTTTAACAACAGCACCCCAGCCATCCCGCAAAGAGCTGCACAAATAAATCCGGATGCCGAATGGTTTTATTTTCCTGTTCCCTTTTTTTATGTTGGGTCACTAAAAATTCTCGACATGCCGACAAGGACTGCGACCGAAATTAGCAAGCCAGGCAGGGCGGAAAGGGGAGGGAATGGGGGCGGATTACAGCTCGCAGATATGCACAAACACACATACACACACGTACACATGCACCCACACACATGCAGCTCATTAAAGCGGCACTAAATTCAAGGCACGTGCGACAGGAACTGCCACCGACAACAACAATAACAGCAAGGACAACAAGGACAGCAATAACGGCCAAAGGACGACGACTGGACCAAGAACGGAACGTAGTTAGCAGCTCATAAAACAATGCAGTCTCGCAGAAAGAAAGAGAGGGAGAGAGTCCGCACACAGAGAGAAAATTAAAGTCAATATTCTAATTTATATAAATCTTATATATCTTCATCTAAATCTTAACAAAAAGTTAACAAAAATACGTTTCAGTTTTTGGTTACATATAGTCTCTACTAGTAGTTAGTTTTTCTCTCTGTGTACGAGCAGGACTACGTAAACGAAGAAGCTCATGCTTATCCCCCAATCTTTTGGTCTCTTTCCGGTTTCCCCCTTTTTTTACTTAACCCCCCACTCTCTCGCAGACCTCTCGTTGGCCTATGCGCCCGTCATCGAGGACATCCGGCCATTCCTCGGCATTCTGGCCGGCATCGTGGGCAGCGTTTTCCTGGTGGCCCTCATCATTGTGATTGTGGTGCGTGTACGCGGCTCTTCGGGGCGCGATCGCAATAATTACTCGCATCCGGGCAGCGGCGTCGGCGTGGGCGGCACCACCGGCAATGGCAGTGGACTGGGCGGTGGAGGCGGCGGAGTGGGCGGCACCACCGCCAACGGGAACGGGAGTCTGGGCCTGCTGGCCAGCAACAACAATGGCAGTCTCGTCATCGGTACACTGGGCCACAATGGTGGGCAATCAGTGCAGGATATGCACCGCATTGGCCGGGAGACGTGCCATGTGACGAGCAGCCTGGACAGCATCGACAAAAATCCAGACATCATACCGCAAGGTGGGTTGGGTGAGTTTCCACAGGTGGTTTCGATTATTACGGTCGCCGAGCTAATCCTTAATGCCCATGGGATCCCTTTTGCAGACGGACACGACCTGGACGATGAGTGGACGACAAAGGGTCATGGTCGCGCTTACGCCACGGCGGCGTTGGCCGAGCAGAATGCCGTGATTACCTCCGGCACCTATGATCACCTGATGCCCACGTACGCCGTCGTCGACAAGAAGACAGCCCCGCCCCCCGGCCATGGCCAATACATTCAGTATAATACGCTCATTCCTGTTAGCAAAATGGGCGCTTATGCCAATCAACAGCAGCAGCTCCAGCAGCAGCCGCAACAGAAGGTGAGTTATGGACACCCTAATCCACTTCCACTGCCCGGCACTAAACCTTTTACAATATGCCGGAGATGCCTCCGCCGTAGCAGTAATTTACGACCCTCGGCCAACTGGCCAGGTGTTGGTCACCCCGTATTGTTTCACTTGGTAACGGCCATCCACATCTTTTTGGTTAAGTGGTTTTTATAGCCAGCAGTTTGTTGCCTCTGCCCCTTGGGAGAATGATAAAATAGTTGATGTAAATCAGACCCTTAAAGAAAACTAACTCAGTCTGCGGTTATTAGATTATATCCAAGGATCTTACTTAGAGAGAAAATCATTAACCATAAATGTTGATAAGGATTCGCTGAAAGTTCACTTAAAAAGTTTAAAGTTACATCCAGATAGATGTTAAGTAAATGTTATACAAATGTGAAACTTAAAGTTGATGGAGCTGAAACAAAACTATTTAAAAGTCGCTCTGCCAGTATCAAACTCTGTCATTGAAGAAATACAAAAATATCTCAAACTAACTAAAAAGAGGAAGTTTTTCTGTGAAAAACTCCTGAAGGTCGCGGGCGAAATAAACGAAAACAACAATGGCTCTGATGGGAATAGAACAGCATCATCTGCAGTTGTAAGAGAAGCAAAGAAACCAACATAATTTGAAAATCATTTAAGTAGAAATTTCTCTGTGCCAGCCACGCCTCTCTCTCGCTCTTCGCAAGAAGTACCAGCCCAGCGAGCGAGGGCAGCAGCCACAGCAGCTGCAGCAATATAAATTTTCCATTTGCGAATTTAATAAAAATAAGTTGCAGGCGGACCCAGCGCGATTCGAGACTACGGAGCAGCAACCGCTAAGGAGCCAAAGGATGTGCGCATCCTGCTCTTCCAGCTCCTCCTGCTCCTTGTCCTGCTGCCTGCAACCTCGAAATGCAATAAACGGCCAAGTGTGTGGCTCGGTGGCGGAAAAGCAGTTGGGGCCGGGGTTTGGAAAATGGCTGTTAAGGGCAGGGCCAGCACCAGCAGCAGACACATTACAAACAGGCGCCGCATGTGGGCGGTGTCTGGCCTAAACAAACAGACCAACAGCAGACATAAAGCACTCAGGAACGACTCGCGAATAGTAGTTGATATCAGCTTTAACCTGCGAAGGCAATCAAAAACTTTAATGATGACAACATCTGGTGTTGTCACTAAGCAGTTTCATCGTGATTGGAAGGGGTTATAGCTTTTCCATATTTTCTGTAATGCATATTTTCATATTTTGAAATGTCATCAGACTGACATAAATAAACAAATATCAAACAAATAAGGTATAAATTATTAAAAATTGATCCGAACTGTAGTAGAATGTTCAAATAAGCAGTAGCAAGCCTTTGAAAAGAATTCATTGCTTGCTTACTAGAAAATTCTGGCCAAATACCATATGTGAAGTGCAGAAAACCACTTTCTAAATAACAGATATTTGCTCTCGTCTAGTTTTTCCGATATTAAATACAAAAATAAGTATTAAAATCAAAATATTTCTCTCTATCTGTTCCCCCTCAGACTGAACTCAGCTACAGCGAACTGACCGCTCCACTGGTAGGCGGTCCGGTTGGCGTTCAGCGGATGGCCCCCTATTGCAGCGCAACCTTGGGACGGCCGGGCAGGCAGACGGAACTTAAGCGGGCGGAGCCGAACATCTACTCGCAGGTAAATGTGATGATGGACGACGAGATTCTGGCCGACTTGCAGGCGGCCACAGCTTCCGGCAGCAGCTATGTGGCAGGGGCCGTGGTCGACAATGTGGGTGGCGCCGCCAATCTCTATGTTCATGGCTACGCGACGCGCGTCTAGAAATGCATTCCACAGTTTGTTATGGTTTTGTTATTAGTTTAAATATTTATATGTTGTTTCAAAATAAACTTAATTTATCTTATTTATTATTTTAAAGATTTGAAAATTTTTCTAAATAGAATCCATTAATCGAGAAAATTTGAGAGCTTTTAATTATATTCAAAAATTGGTATCCCGCCTCAATAAAGAGTTGACCAAATCAATAAACTAAAGTCGGTAAAAAATGTGCAGTGCTTGCAGGGAAAATATTTATCTTCCATCGAAAAGCAATTCTGGGCATTACACATACGCACCGTAGCACAAACAAATCGAGCTGCAAGCAAAAAGAGTGCTGAGAACTCAGTTTACGCAAATCGGGTTTAAGGAGACGCCGACAATCCGACAGATATGAAATAATGACCATGGAATACCCTCGCTGAAAGCACCTGAAGTATTTGATGGAATTTGGCCAGGAAATTGAGTACCTAGAGGAGCTGAGCACAGATTTGCAAAGAATCTCTGACTGTGGAAGGAATAAACTTGATGGAGTAGAGTGGAGTGCAGTGTTTTTTCGAATTTGTCTGGCCATGGCAGACAAGTTATGTTCCGATTTTGTGGAACACTCCCATCGGGACTCTGTTCCAGTCGAGACTCTCCTCCTCTTTGTTTGTCCAACTGGGTTTCATTCCTCTTAATAATTGAATAGACTTGAGTTATGGCCAAGTGTAGGTGAATCGATATAGATTCAGGTTGGACAGGTAGCAAATGCACTTAAACAGCACTCCTGCTAGTGGGAAAACGTTCGTTGGGAATACTCGGCCAGAACAACAACAATTAATGCAACCACATGAGCTCAGTTCTGGCAAACATTTCGCCTAATGACATTGTTTGGCTTTATTGTCATCTATCGAAAAGTTTTACACGACATCCAGGTGGCTCTTTATTTCTATTTCTTTTCTACTGAACATTGATTTGGATCTCTTACTTCGGCTTCTATTTTTCTCAATTATTTTAATTTGATTTGTTAAGATTGTTTTGCGGTTTAAAACTTCATTCACCCTTAATTTTACCTCAAATTGTCTTAACTCTATAGCTTGTTAGTTCCTGCTCTAAGCCAGACCCAGCAATTTTCATTTACATGCCGCTAAAAATGAATTTCATTAAAATCTCGTTGCGCCCATTAAGAAAACAACGTCAATATGCCTCGTTCAGGCAGACACGTTAATTACGGAAATAAGCATATAAACATGCTGCGCATACACATCGCCCACAAAGCCAGCTCGCATATGCGAACATGGCCCACCGATGGGCCAATTATTGTAGTAGCTCACCACATAGCCAACCAGCCTCTTGTATGCCATGGCAACCATGTTGGCTAAATAAACGCCTGCCGCGTTGTTAACTATCAGTAACAACGCCACGCGAGGCATGCAGCAGTGGGAGGTGGTGGAACCGCAGAGTCCGCGATGGCTGCAATATGCGTGGGAAACCACACTTACATATTAACATACAGGCCACTGGCACACTCCTCAGATTTACTATAACATGCAATTACACAGCGCAAAATCAACAATATTATTCTCTGAAGCTAAAGTAATTATTAACCAAGTCAGCAAGGTCTCTGTTCTGATAATTTTTAGTATGAACATTGTTAGGATGTTTAGATGGAACGTAGAACTTCCTTAAATTAGGAATTTTGCCGTAAATAGCTACCATGTTTAGATGCTACATTATCATTTGGTCTTCCCATCGATCAATTACTTTTGTTCCAACCCACCAAAACTTGCCATTTTGAAACTCGTGACTAACTCGCAGCATATAAATCATCACATGACTAAAACCTCATTACCTACTCCTCTACTGAACCACCGCAGATCGATCTGGCACATCATCCCATGCCCATGTACTCGACGAGCCCGATGTTTGGCACGAACAGCACCATCACCGGAGTCACCATGTCGCATCCATCACAATTGGCCACCTTCTCGCCGACGCCGCCGCCGCCCATCTTCACCCACAGCATGGTGACCACCGGCGATGGCCTCCTACAGCCGGTGACGTGCATGGGCCTGGTAGCAACATCTTCGGCAGGGGCATCGGTTCCTGGTTCGGTTCAACTTCCCCCGCAGCAGCAGCAGCAGCAACACCAGCAGCTGACAGCGGCCAATGGCGGAAACGGAAGCATCGTCGGCATGGGCATGAGCCTTTATGGCAGCGATGTGGTAAGTGTCAGTTTGATGTACTTCCCCAATTCCTGGACGCTCCTGCTGCTCCTTGTTGATAGCGAACCGGTCGTCAAGGCAACTCGCCTAATGTCCAAAACGTTGAAAGCATCAATATGCAAAGTGGATTTTCTCGGGCAAGGATTTTTGGCAGCGCCACTGGCGAGGGGGCAAAAGGGATGGTAACCGGCAGCAGGAAACATTTATCTTGACCCCCCCGAACACCCGCAATTCGGGGGCATCTTTTGTGCCCAATTTTGTTTTCGTTTTTCCCTTATAAATGGCAGCCGCTGGGGCGGAAAATGGGTTTTTGCGGTTGGGCTGATAACTGCTCAAGTGATTGCAGCCTCCGAAAGGGTATTCAAATGTGGAAAATTAAGAGCGGAACTTGTTGTTCGACTTCAGATACTTAACGCTGATGGAGAATGCGACTAAATAACTACATTTTGGGTCTTAAAATATCCCTTTTTATATCACAGTTTCCCCTACATTACGCTCCTTTCAATCGATTAGCCCACCCAGTGAGTCATCGATCAACAGATGACTCAAAGTCGAACCCATCCCAGTGACAGTGCAATTTTCTGGTAATCCATAACCTTTGATCCCTCTACTACAGACAACTTTAAACTCAGCTGGAGAGCGAAAGAGTGAGAGAGCCGAGTTCAAGGCGGTAAATGACCTCTGAATGTGCTGCAGGATAATAAAAAAGAGTCGCTGTTGGCCATCCTTCTCGCTCCGCCTGTGCCTGCCATTCATTGTCTCTGTCAGTTGCTTTATAAATACGCCATTATGTATACTCCCGACGCAGCGCAGTGCGTTCGTCCTGTCCTGGCCTGTCCTGTCCTGGCTACTGCTCCGGCTCCTGCTCTTCTAGTCTCCTAGTGGACCAGGCCAACAGGCTTCGGCCATTGCATTGTCCCTGCTGATGCTCGTTCCACAAAAAGAATTACACTTTTTACAACAATTTCATGCCAAAAGGACACTGCGGTGTGGCAACTTTTGACTCTAATGATTGCAATTATTATGACCCAAATAAGAAGAAGAGCACCAGCAGAGGGGGCAGAACAAAAAAAGAGGAGAGGAAAATGAGAAGAAGAAGAACAACAACATCATCATCAGCAGCAGCAGCGACTGAATTCACAATGTTTTATTCCTCCTTTGCCTCTCCTGGCATTTTTGTTTTTTTCCTTTTGTGTGTTGCCTTTTCTTGAGCTGCTCCTTTCGTTTGTCACTGATGTGGTCCTTGTTTTTTCCCGCTTTGGAATCCCAAAGGCGGCCCAAACTGACACTCTTGGCCGTGTTGCCCCAAGGGAGTTTTGGCCAAAACAGAGCAAATGGCTCTGGAAGACTTGTTGGTTTTTCGTTTGTTTTGTTTTTGCCTCTGCCTCTAATGCCACACTGCCAAAACCAAATATTACGCATACGCAGCGTTTTTGCTGGTACAATTTTCTGGCCAACTTGAATTTGTAATAGCTGCGAGTACTCAAATAATGTGCGGCTCATTAATTTTAAAGCAGCGCTATTTAGTGTCTCTTGCCACCGAGCTGTCTGCTTATTTGGGTCATATTCCCAAAGCTAAAAAAGGTTTTTGTTATTGTGGTAAATTTTCTCATCTCCTAACTTTCCTTTTCTTCTTCCATTTCCCTTCCAGGGAAAGCCACAGCTGCTGAAGACTGTGCCAGAAGAGGTGCACCATCAGCTCAACGGCGAGGATGTATTGATCGCCCAGGATCGCAATCTCGGATCGGGAACTCGCTTCTGACGCTAAGCTCTGGGCCACGATGAGCAACTAATCTGAAGTCGAAGAAGCCAGAGAAGCCAGAGACAGGAAATGCAAATCAAAAGAGATAACTACAGAAAATCGGGGAATAATTGGTAAACAAATTGACTATAAGTTGTATGTGATGAGCCAGAAAGAAAGTAAGCGAGAATGGAGTTGATTTTAAAGCAGAGGAGGCACTCTTTTAAGACAGCAAAAGCAAAAGACATTATACGAGGATACCCAGTGTATGGCATACCCTGTAAAAAGATAACAATAAACTGTGCATGTAAATTGTTCGAAGCAAAGTGAAGCTCAGCATAGGAATCCATTAGGCCTAAGGAGACATGTAAATTACGGAATACAATTACACACTTATAGCTATAATTATGACTAACATTAAATCGAAGGAAAATGAAGAACACTGAATTGTTAATATATTTTTAAACAACAGCTTTAAGCGCCAAAAGAAAGAGAATTATATAAACTTTTAGCTAAGTAAACGAATTCATACTTGTTGTTGACCTTAGTTCGAGTAACCTAGCTCCCCCATTACCATTTAGCTTGTAACTTAGGCGTAACTAAGGCATTTACAACATCTAAATCAAATTCATCTAGCTGTAAGCTCTGACTTAGCATAGTTCAAATTGTAATAAAAACGATCGTAAAGAATTTAAAATGAAACACTAACCCTAAGCTAACTACATAATGAACGATTAATAAACGACTCAAATTAGCAAATCCAGTTTGCATTTTATACGTAACGAACTACCAGAAGGAAAACTCGAACGGCCGGAAAATGCCTGGGAAAGCGAGTTCTAGTTTAAGGAGAAATGCATTAAAATAATAATAAAAAAAAAACTAAAAGGCTAAGCAACTGCATGTAAAATATTTAACTGAGTACTAGGCTAAAGTTAATAAATTAAATTTAATAAAATGTATGAAACCAGAAAGACCAAGTCTATTGGGATTGCATTGGGGGGAGGCGTCTCTGTATCCCCGTGAAGGATCACTGACCTGGGACCTACTCGATTTCACCTTTTTGGGCACTAACTGGAGCAAACATTAGCAGGCCCATCGACAAGTCAAATGTTGCAGCAGGAACGGCTGTTTACAAACACTGGGGCGTGGCAACCTGGCGGCGTGTGTGTGTCTTCGGGACTGCCTTGTAGGAAACGGTAAATATTGACGGGCCGCGTAAGCAAACAAAGGGAAAAGCGGAAGTCAAGCTGAGCGACACAACCGCAGAGGAACAATAACAAAAACAGCCGACAATCTGCATTGAGTACAGCGACAACAACGGCAGCCGGAGCAGCAACATCAACTAACTGAAGCACCAACATGGCCGATACAGCGCTCAAAAATTGTCAGACCATGTAAATTTTGTATGCGAAAGCACTTAACACCGTTTTCGCTTAAGCAAGGCAAACATCGAGGAACTAGAGGAGTCCTGTCCTGGCAAACTGAGTTAGATGATAGTCACCGGCATTTATGAGCAAGCCAAAGCCTACATGGAAGCAAGCAAATTATGCAAATTTTGACCGCGTCGCCACCGTCGATGACTTGTAAATTTTGGGGTTTCAGGTTTCCGGTTTCGTGGTTCCAAGTTACCAGTTCCGGAGTACCTGTTTAGATTTGAAGATATGCCATAAGCTGAGCAAAGGCCCACAAACACGCAACACAACCATATGTACGAAGATCAAATATTTGAACCTCAAGACGAAGGCGAAGCAGGTTCGAAATTGGAGTGGACCACATGTCAGGCCGCAAAACCACAGAGGGGCCGCTGGTGGCCGCAGACGTTGCCATTAACCCAACAGATTTAAATCAATTAATCAAAGTACACCGCATAAATTATAAATTAAACGCCTGTTTATGCTCATTTCGGAGCTGTGGCTGCCGCCAAGTCACTTCTAGGACCACCCCAAACCATGAAAGGCCATCAATCAGGCGGCGGCAATAAAGTGGCACCAAAGTCAAACCGTACCGACGGAAATTCATATTGCCGTTGACAGAAAAATGGCATTCAATTGTATTCTAAATCATAAATAAATATTAAAAATCAATTTGAATGCGATTTTCTCCTTCCACCTCCGCTATCGGCACAAAGAGGAAAATAAATACAGAAAGGCAAACAACAATGCAGAGGACATTGACAGCATGGGTCGCTGGTATTTTTCATGAAACGCTATGAAAGTTAAGGAATGTCATTGAATTCAACAATAAGAAACTAGTATCAACCTTCTTTCATTTTGTGATTTTATTAAGGGAAATGTAGACGTTTCCATGGTGAATATTTTGCCCAAATCAATCAGATATTCCCCTCTTCCGCTCCGAAAAGTTCAGTTATAGTCGAACTAGCCATTCTGATGTTTCCAGTTTTATTACCTAAATTAAAAGTTTTGACACAAAGAGTTTTTTTTTACAGCTCTTTCGCGGCTCCGCGATGATGAATGATGAATCGTTTCGCCAGAAAAGAATTCATGTATTTATGCGACATTTGCTTTTAATTGATTGTTCGAAATGACAAACGACTTTTGGTCTGGAACTCGCTTGATTTATGCCCCGACGAGCTAATAAAACTTTACTGCGAGTTCTGCGAAATTAAACGAAAATGCCCTGCAATTAAGCGAGTTCTTTTTCCGCTGCACTCGAATCTCACGACACACTTAAGCCGCCATTAATGCAGAGTTGCACTGTGTTGTCTGTCTGTCTGTCTGTCTGTCACTGCAGTGGCCTGATTTATAAGCCAACACTTACAGTACAGCGGACAAGGATCGAGATCCGGACGAGGACGAGGACGTGGATGGGTACTGACCACAGAAACATTTTCTTACCACTGATTTATTTACATTTAAGCAATTTCGTCGCCATCGTTGTGAAGTTTCCAGACGGAAATTCGCAGCATTGCATCCGGAAATTGGCAACAAAAAGAGAGGGGTGCATTGTCCTGCCCCCCATTTTTGGCCCAATGCCCTCCTCAACCTCTCCTCCTCCACCGCCTCTTCCACCATAAAATTCTGCCCCCATTTACCATTCGCGCGGGCCAGAGAAGATTAATGCCGGCGCTTTTATTGTTTGGTCAGTCGCGTGACCATTTTGTGCAATTTATATCGTAAATAAAAGTGACGAAGAAAATAAGGAAAATTGAAGCCGATGTAAATAAACCGTATGAAATGTAAATTCCGAGGCTCGGACTCGATCTTTAAAATGTGATAACGTATTGATGGCGGAAACTCAATCCGGCTGTCGTATTGATTTGTAGGCCCAACAAATTTACCAACCACTCGCCATTCACGGTGAAAAACAGCCACTAAGCCTTGGCCTATAATGTGTGACAAATCTACGCAAATTTTTGGGCCAACATAAGGCGACACCTTTGCCTAGGCGAGAGACAGGGTAAAGAAGGAACATCGCATTTGAAGGTTAAATAAATTGCTGGATCCAAACATATGCCCCAGGACCATAAATATTTGGGCTACGGATGCGGGCAAACAAAAAAGGGTTTATGTGATGGGCGGCGGGCTGAAGTAACAAATGCGTGTATCCATTTACATAGAAAGTACCTGGCGTCGCACATTTCCTGCCTTTCACCGGATCCAGCCGGATGATTCCCGCCTCCGGTTAATATGGCGGCGTCAAAACAACATTAAACACGGTCCCGGGTAACCGGGAACCAGCCACCGGAAGTGTGTATGTATATAAAATAACCCACGCCCAAGCTCACAGCACGCACTCTCGAACACGGTGCGTATACGCAATAAACATAAAAATTTTTGAAACCAGGGGAAGTCCCTGCCCGTCGCTCTGATTTCCCTTTTGGACGTTCACCTTTCTTTATGCGTTGGGCCTTTCCCCCCCAGAGGTTGCAAATTATTTTTTTAGTACTTTATTCAATGCGCATTAAGCGCGCAACCAGTCTGTTTTTGCCTCGAAATTTTGGTCGTAAAATGAGCTAAAAAGGTGCGTGAGCTTAGATTTTTTTTTTGGCTCTGGTATTCCGGGCAAACTACCAACTAATGTGGGCAGACACTTAATTTATGTTGAATTCTTTACAGCCCAGAGTGTCTGCAATGATTATGGAATGCCGTTGGCCTGCGATTTGTCAGGCGGCACGTGTCGGAAGAGCCTGGCCAAATGAAATGCTTAACTTAGAAAGGGTGGCTCTTAGATGGAAATGAGGGTTCTGCTGTTGACTTGTGAATAGCTGGGAATGCCATTTTGAATAATAATACTGCAATATATTCATGGCCCTTTTCAATTTACCTTTAAACACTGCATTCCGTGGCATAATTAGATACGTCAAATAGATTGCCAATCAGTATTCATTATTGTTTTTTTAAGTTTTTCAAATACTTTGTCAACTAATTAAAATATTGAACGCCTAAGCCCAAATGGGCGGGGTGGTGGAGTGACAACGTTTTGACCACAGAGAAGTGGTTTTTACGTGTGGGCTGTTGGCCAGAGAGTCAAGTGGCTAATTGCCAGAGCTGGGAAATGCATGTTTTTTTTCATATTCATTATGTTGATTGAATGTTTTGTACGCCACCAAACACTCGACTATCAAGCTCGTTTCTAAATGAAATGCAAATTACTTTTTTGTTTCGCCCGCTCGGCATGCAAACTAATAAACATAACATTTATGAATTTTATCGAATTTGCCGTTTGTGCAGGTTTGTAATTCGGTTTATTAAAAAGGGCTTCATAGATAATTAATAAATTGCGCATCATTTGCAAATTGCAGCCGACAGGATCATGCATGGCCAGATAGGAAAGACATTTTATATTGCTGACCAGTTGCCAGACCGCGGCGGTTGAGTTGGTAAATCGAAATGATTTCATTGACATTTATATGATTGCATTTAAATTTTAGTTTTAATTTATATTTAATTATGTTGCGTTGGCGCTTTAAGGCCACTCTCTGACCAAATGGAAAAAACAAAAAGCAATGCAAATTTATGCAGAACTTTCGCAAGCGAAAGCCTTAAATTACAGCCTGGTGGGTTGCCTTTGTCTCAAGTCTATAATTACTCGATGTGAAAATGTTTTTGCAATTATGGAAAAAGAACTGCAAGAATTTCCATCTTCCTTCGAAAGTGAAATTCGGGTGTTTTCCCGGGCAAATTACAAAGCGCGGTAGATTATATGACCCAAAAGTTTTCCCAACTGGGCGGGCCGACCTCTAATTGGTTTTTGATTTCGTCTTTCGGGCTAAAGCCGAAAAATGTTTGCGACATTTGCAGCACCGAAAACTAAATTGCTTCAGGAGTTTTGCACATGCCTACAATTTGAGGCAAAGTTTTTGGCAAATAACAAAATTAACCCCAAAGTGCCTGCAAGGCTGGCAGCCAGTGGAGTGTTAACTCCGCTCCCTTTCAGTGTAAGTGTGCTTTGTGAAGTTGACTACGCTAATATGTCACTTTGTCGTGGGCAAAGTTGACTTCCCTGCACTCACCTGAGTTTTTAGCCAGCTGCATGGATAAGTGTGTGTGAAACCAGCATCCTCTCGCTGGGATGCATCCTAGCCAGGATATGTCGCACAGACAAGCTGCGGTTGTTGCCCCTTCGCTCTCTCTCTTTCTCGCCATGTCTTTTCTCCTGCAAAAAGCACACTCACATGATTCGGCATTAAATTTGCAGTAACACAAATTGTCGCTTACCCGAAAAGTCTGCATGCACAGGTAAAAAGTGGCACCTCTAAAAGCTTCAGCTCAAAGACAACAAATAAATTGAATTGAATCCAGACGAGACGCGACGACACGAACTGAAATGAAATTTTAAGAGATGGTGGAGCTTAGGCGAAGGATAAGTTAAGGTTCAAAGGTATGCTCCTTAATGGAATAAAATGTTGCCAAATTAAGGAGAAAGCCATAAGGAAGTTAGCAACCAAGAACTTAAGTTTCAAGCTGTACTAAAATATTAATAAA